ACTAGTGAGGTTACAGTAGAGGTGATAAGAAATGGTTAGATTTTAGATGTAATTAAAGACACACTCATAATATTTCCTGTCGAATATATTTAAGATATGAGGAGGAAAAAAAAAAGAGAAAAGAAGGGTAATTTCAAAGATTTTGGCCTGGATATAAGAAGAATGAAATTGCCATCAGTGGAGCTGGAAGAGATAGATAAAAGAAAGAAAGAATTGGGGTATTTTATTTTTTACTTTTAATTTTTTAAAATAATGTTCGATTTTTTTAAGTTTAAAAAATATTACAATTAACACAAAAATATTATAATTACAAGTAACTTTCACCCAGCTCCTTCAGATGATAACATTTTACAAGCCCAAAGGATAATTATAAGCCAGGGAATTATCATTGATATGATGCTACTAACTGTCCCAATCTAGGAAAGTTTCTCCTTCTTTCTTTGTCTTTCATGACCTTGACATTTTTTAAAAATACTGATCAGTTAATTTATAAAATTTTCTGCAATTGAGATGGCCATGGTTATAAATTTTTGGCTATACCACTACAGAAGTGATGCCATTATATCAAGGAGGAGCATGATGTTGATATGTCTCATTACCATTGATGTAGTTGCAACACTGTCTCTCAAATGTAAAGTTATGATTTTTCTATTTGTTATTAGTAAGTGTCTTATGGGGTGATACTTTGAGATTATGTAAGTATCTTGTTTCTCAGCATGTATTGCCCACTAATTTGGCATCTATTAATGACACTTGTAGGCAACAATAATTACTGTGCTGTTTGCCAAACAGTAATTTTCTCATTTCTATTAATTCTTCTACTTTTATTATTAGATGATCTGTCCCTTCTCATTTATTTATCTGTCCAACAATTTATATTATTATGGATATTTCTTTTTTTCATGGCTTATATTCCACTACCCTATTTCCCCGAAAATAAGACAGTGTCTTATATTAATTTTTGCTCCCAAAGATGTGCTAGGCCTTATTTCCAGGGGATGTCTTATTTTTCTATGAAGAAGTATATAGTACACATTTATTGTTAAATGAAAATAAAGGAAATTTATTACCTGTATACGTATGGTAGTTGTCAACACAAACCAGACAAACTGTGAATCCTACAGTATCAAGAATTTACTCATTTATTAAATGACAATCATGTGATCATCTTCTGGAATATCATCATAACAATCCAATTCCTGAATTTCCTGGTGAATTTTTTGTGACTCCATTTCTTTCAGAATCAGTGGACCAAATCTTTCATGTTTAGCCTAGGGGGGGCCTTATTTTCCAGGGGATGCCTTATATTTCACTCAGAAGGAAACATGTAAGTAGGTCTTATTTCTGGAGGATGTCTTATTTTTAGGGAAACACGGTAGTATCATGATTTTGATGCTCACATTATCCCAGATTTGGTCTTTGACCTTCAGGTTTGCTTCTGTATTCTTTTGATGTGTCTCTCACCACCCCCCTTCTTTCCAAATATTTTCTTACAAATAATAAATCTGTAAGAAAAATTTAGACATTTGCAATTCTACTGAGAGCAAATTTCTTTGAGAGTGAGTGGTGGGAATAACAAAGGCCTACAAGGGCTTTAGTTAGAAACTCTGTCAGAGAAAAGAACAATCCTCGCAGCTGATTTCTTGAAAATATACTCTCTGAAGCTACATTGCAACAGCTAGGAGGGGAGGAAGGTATTCAGTTTTGGCTTATTTGATTCATTTGCTTATTCCAGATTTCCTAAAGACCCTCTTTGGGGCTGCTGCCCATTCAATAGGAGAGTAAGAGCAGAGCCAAAGGAAAAAAGCAACTAGAACAAAATAAAGAAAACGAGACTTTTTATCCTTATTCTTCGTTGTGTTGTTATATTTACCCTCTATAATTTCTCAGAAATTATTTATAAGAGGCAGAAAAAAATGTGTAGTATAAAGAAACTCAGTGAATAATTATAACATTTTCTAAGCATATATTTAATTATGTTACATATCAATATGGGTAGTACAGGAAAACTGTACTCCCTAAAGTTCATTTGTTTTTACATAATAATGATATATTATTAGACAAATGACACACATAAGTTTATTTAATTGACTGTTGATTACCTTGGCTAATGGAAGGAAACAATGGTATGATTAATCCAAAATAATCTAATGTCATTTATATTTGACTTTGGGAAAATATTGTTTGGTATTTAACAATGAATGAGAATACTTTTAACATTCTAAGATGTGTTTTTTAAACTTCAAGTAAAGCAATGAAAACATATTGAGTAAAAACTTATTCATTCTGGCCTTGCAATAGATGGTAATTAACCACCAGGAAGTTTCTCAGTTTCCTTATCTATCATTTAGCAACTATTTCAGGTAATCATTGTTTTTCATTATCTAGAAGAATCTACTCTGATTTTATGTGGTTCAGGTTGCCATAGACTACTTCAGTCTCTACCAGTGGTCATCTAACTAAGACCAGTTCAATCAGAACCTAATATTCCTCTGACCACAGTACTGAATTTCATGAGTTACATATAACTTGGGGAAGCCCCATCATCATATCCTATCTTATTGGCAACAACTCTGGGTCCTCAGCTGCCATTTTTATGAAATATGACCATGCCCTTAGGCCCTCGTTGATTGATCTAGAATTGAGCCCTGACCAAAATTGGGCCAATTACAGCTCTTTCCCCATGATTTCAAAATTTGGACTAAGAAAGTCCAATATCAGTTTTGACATTTCTCTAACACAGAAGTTATATATAATTGACCTTCATGTAACTGTGGGAGAATAGAAAGCTGTTCTAGATAAAGAGAATGAGAGAAAAAAGAAGTAGGCAGAGAGAAGCAGAGAGAAAAATGAGGAAGGAAGTCCCATTCTGGTCCTTTAGAAGCCAGGCTACATTCTTAACCTTGGTTTTCTGAGGGTACAAATTTAGACCTTCATGCTAATTTCTTTCTTTGAAGCTAGCTCCAGGTGGTTTCTCATTGTCAATCAAGAAACTTTACTAATTCTCCAGAAAAGAGAGATAGATATAACGATTCAGGGTTGGGAATTTGTGGGACAAATAAAATAGAAAGACAAAGGGAGAAGGAAAGTAACAGTACCAGTGAGAACAAAGTTGAAATGGCTGAAATGAGGGGTCAAATTAGATAGAGAAGAAAGAGAAACCAAAATGGGATAAGCCCAACTAGAAGTAGGGAAAGAGCTGAGGGGCTGGAGGGCAGGTTTGGATGAGTTTGTTTCTCTGAAGGAGTCAGGAATTGAGAAGAAGGACGTAGCCTGAGAGATATCTAAGATAGAAGAGTCCTAATTGTAACAAGCTCTAGGATGTGGCCAGGAGAGAGGGCTGTTGAAAGGAAATAAGAGTTGGGATGGAGATTAAAGAATTCTGACACTAAGAAATGGAATGGATAATTTACCTAGGAAAGTGGCAGAAGTTAGGTAGAAAAGAACCAAGTGACATATGAGCCTAGTGTACAGGAATTGTAAGAATCAAAGTTATATTGTAGATTTCTATTCTCCAGTGTCAATATGAGAAACTGAGTAGATGAAGTATTGTATTAAAGGTCCTGACATCTTCAAATATAGCATTAATTGATATTTGTAATAAATTAAATGAGGTAGAGGAACTCTATAGTACATACAAATGTTCTCTGGGCCATCAGTTGTGCTAAAAACAGAAATAAATAACAAAAATATGAAACATAAAAACCCAATTACATGAAAACAACTTCAATTCTTCTAAGTAATAGACTTATCAAGGAGAAAATTAAGAATACAATAATAAAAGTCTATTAAAATAATAAAGTACTTCTCAGAAACATTGAAATGCAGGAAAAGTCATCTTAGAAGAAAGTATATGCTCATAAATCATTTTACTACTAATAGAAAATTAATTACATAAACATTCGATTTCAGTTCATAGAAAAGAAAAATTTTAAATCCTGAGTGAAAAAAACACTAGACGCATACTAAAGCTAATCAGAAATTTACAATACACTTGAAAATTACATCAAAAGCTGCTTTTTAAAGAGACTAATGTAATGAACAAATGCCCCATATAACATAGTAAAAAAAAAAACAGTAAATAGAACAAAAGAATGCAGATACAGTAAGCAAATCAAAACATATAAAATTATAGAGAATATATTATAAAAGAATTTTTATGGAAATCAGGCAATGTTTATAAAAATTATTTTTAAAGATACCTGAAAACAACCCTCCAAAATCTTTCAACTAATAAATAGTTGTATTAAAGGTCCTGGAACATGCATACAATGAAATATTGTTCAGCAAGAAAAACAAATGAACTCTCTATCACATGTGAAAATATGTTGCATGAAAAATATCAGACTTAAATGCCTACAATGTCCATTTGTACAACATTGTGGAAAAGGTAAAACTATGGGAGCATAAAACAGACTAATAATTGACAGGAACAGGGTGGGAACATGGGGGAACATTTTAGGTGTTAAAATGTTCTGTATTTTGATTGTGGTGGCTTTACACAATTCTGTTCATTTATCAAAACTCAGAACTGTACATTAGAGGTGAATTTTATTCTATGTATATTGTACCTCAATAAACCTGGCTTTAAAAAAAAAATTGCCATAGTCAGTGTATCTCAGTGGTTAGAGCGTCAAGCCAAGCACCAAAGGATCATAGGTTCGATTCGCAGTCAAAGGCATGTACCTGGGTTGCAGCCCTAGTCAGGGCATATCCAGAAGGCAAACAAATGATGTGTCTCTCTCACATCAATTTTCCTTTCTCTTTCTCTTTCCCCTTTCCTCCCTCCCCTCTCTCCCTTCTGCTCTCTCTAAGTATCAGTGGAAAAAAATATCCTCATGTGAGGATTTTTTTTTCACTCAAAATCACCAAATAATTTATTTGGAATCAGAATGAAAGAACATTTGACAGTTGTTGAAATGTATGCTTCTTCTGATACTTTTGATCAGGTATACATACAACTCATCCAGGACACATGACCAGAAATATTTTACATTTCTTCAAGGCTGGGGTTTTTCCACGGCTTCAATTTTGGGATCTTCAAATTTGAAGTCTGGGAATGTATTCATGTCTATCAATACTTTGCCATACATTTGCTTAAGCTTAAAAAGCTCTCTCTCCAGGTCTTGCTGATACACTGGGCCGGCATCAACAGGCCCTCCAGATGACTGTCGCTTAGTTTTGTATTCCCTAATCTTGTCCACGAAGAGTTTCTGTAAAGGATCGAGTTCCTTATTAAACGCCACCGCTGTAACACCAATATTCCTCCTCAAATGGACTGAGATTGCAGACCGAATGACAGAGGAGAATCTGAAGAGCCTCTGAAGAATCATGGTGACTATTACATGTACTCAGTTCCGAGCTGCCAGACTGCCGCCGCCACCCTGAGGATTTTTTTAAAAGACTTAAATGTAAGTTGTGAAACCATAAAAATCCTAGAAGAAAACATGGGCGACAAAATCTCACAAAGCAAAATTTTCACCAATACATCTCCTAGGCCAAGAGAAACAAAGGAAAAAAATTAACAAATGGGACTACATCAAAATAAAAAGCTTCTGCACAGCAAAAGAAACCACCATCAAAATGAAAAGGGAACCTACTGTATGGGAGAATATACTTGCCAATGATACATCTGATAAGGGACTAATCTCCAAAATACATAAAATTCTCATAGAACTCAACAAAAGGAAGACAAACAATCTATATGGGAAAGGACCTAAAAAGATACTTCTCCAAAGAGGACATACAGACATACGAAAAAATGCTCAACATCACTAATCATGAGAGAAATGCAAATTAAAATCACAATGAGTTATCACCACACACCTGTCAGAATGGCTATCATCAATAAATCAACAAACCACAAGTGCTGGGGAAAATGTGGAGAAAAGGGAACACTAGTTCACTGCTGGTGGGAATGCAGACTAGTATAGCCACTGTGAAAAACAGTATGGAGTTTCCTCAAAAAATGGAACTGCTGAGTGATCCCACTTCTGGAAATATATCCTAAAAACCCCAAACTACAAATCTGAAAGAATAAATCATGCCTATGTTCATAGCAGCATTATTTACAATAGCTAAGATTTGGAAACAGCCCAAGTGTCCATCAGTAAATGAGTGGATAAAAAAGTTGTGGTACATTTACATAATGGAATACAATGAAGCTATAAAAAAGGATCTCTTACCCTTTGAGACAGCATGGATGGACCTGGAGACTATATTATGCTAAGTGAAATAAGCCAATCAGAAAAAGAAAAAATATCACATGATCTCATTTATTTGTGGAATCTAATGAACAACATGAATTGACCCAAGGCATAGAAAAGACTGACATATGTCAGGCAGTGGGAGGGAGGAGAAGAGATAAACCAAAGAACTTACATACTTAGTAGAGGCCCAATGCACAAAATTTGTGCAAGAACTTTTCTTCCCCCAGCTGCCAGCACTAGTTTCCCTCTGGCACCCAGGACCTGGGCTGCCCTTGCAGCCCTGGCTTCATCTGGAAGGTCGTCCAGAAGGATGGCCAAAAGGATATCCAATCTAATTAGCATATTACACTTTTATTATTATAGATTACAGGCCCAGTGCACGAATTCGTGCATAGGTGGGATCTAGCCGGTCTGGCCCCAAATGGAGCAGATTGGAGCTGTGTCTTTCAGGAGGAGGAGAAGACAGCAAGAGGTTGGCTGGTCAATCCACCCTGATCAGAGCCCAGTCAGGGCTGGGCTGGCTGGGGGAGGGGCTGCAGGTGATTGGCCAGCAAGCCATACCCCAATTGGGATGGGGGGCCAATTGGGGGTCAGTGGCCAAGAGAGGGGCCGTGGGAGTTGGCCAGCAGCCCCACCCCCGATTGGTTGGGGGGGGGCATCGAGGCTGCAGGAGATTGGCTAGCCAGCCCCACCCCCTAATGGGGTAGGGTGGGGTGGGCATTCAGGTGCAGGGCCAGCCAGGGGAGGGGCTGCAGGCCAATTAGGGTGTGAGGGCCCATTGGGAGCGGGGCCTGCCAGGGGGTGGGGCTGTAGGAGGTTGGTTGGCCAGCCCCGCCCCCTATTGAGGTAAGGAGGGCAAGTTCGCTGGCCGCAGTGAGAATCACAGTGAACAGTTGTCTGGTCATTCTGGTTATTATGACATTCCAATTGCTGGCTTTTTACATATATAGATATGTACAGCTCATGGACACAGACAATAGTGTGGTGAAGGCCTAGGGGGTAGGAGCAGGGTGGAATGGGGACATCTGTAATTCTATCAACAATTAAAAATATATATTTTTAAAAATTAATAATAGACAAAATGTTAATAATGCTGAAAATAACAGGTAAAAAGAGCTCTTATAGGCAACTATTACATAATAATACAAATTAAAAGGTGCAATAGTATGAAAATAAATATAGATGAAAAATAGAGAAACTAGACATAGATTTAAAAATATTGGTAATAGTCTATTACTGATTTTTTCTTTTCTTCTTCTCCTTCCCTTCCCTTAACTTGCCTATACTTCTCCTCCATCCCCCTGCTGTACCTGAAAAATTCAGTGAAAAACCATTAAACTGTGAGAAAGTAGTAATAAAGCTATTCTGGAAATGAACCTGGCAGTTTCTTATAAACTAAACATGCCCTTGTCATATGACACATCAGTTACATTCCTGGACATTTATCCCAGAGAACTGACAATCTGTGTTCACACAAAAACATGTACATAGCTGTTCTCAGCACCTTTATTTGTAAGGTACCACAGTGGAAATAACCAACATGGCCTTCACTAGATGAGTGGTTAAATTATGGTACATCCATATGAGGGATACTGCTCAGTAGTGGTGCCCACACTTAGAATGTCAGAGCCTGAGGTGAGTGAAGAGGATATCAGTATAGGATAGCACCAGTACCAGCTTGGTGCAAAATATCAGAGCCCAGACAGAGTAAGGCTAGTGTCTGACAAAGAGGAGTGGCTGTAACTGGTATGGTGTAGGGTGTTAGATTCCACGTGGGGTGAGGAGTGTATCTATGACAGGAGGAGTCATGGAGGACACAATGGGAAATTAGCTACATATAGGATGATTAAGCAAATATGTTAATATATTGAGGAAAACAGGAGCCAAGTTTCTCCCTGTGAAATGAGAGAATTATAAATTGGAAAAGAAAGAAAATAAGAATGAAGCCTGTGGTACTGAATTTGAATCGGAGATATCAGATTTCCTTTTATTATATAGAAGGAAATATAAGTGAAATAGCATATGTAGGTGTGTACATACATAGTGTGTGGGGGGATTATGTGTGTGTATCTAAAATAAAAAGTGATGTTTAAATCTTAGGATCACGCAAGAGTGGATTTAAAGCCTCAAATAATTTCACCCAGAACCCATCTCTCTCCATCTCTTGACTGTCATTCATCTTGACTTCATTTTTATTCTCAGACTCTACAAGGTATCAAGATGGTCGTCATTAGCTTCCAAGCCAATTTCCAAATTCAAATCCAGGAGGAAAAGGCATTACTTTCTACTCAATATATATTTTTTTAAGCCTCATTGCATATCATGGGCTCTGACTGGTCTTGTACTTGCCTTGTAGAATCACGATGGAACAGGGAATGCAGTGCATTGATTTGCTAAGGCTGAGCCACGCCCACTTCTGGAGACCCAGGAGGAATGAGCTCTGTCTAAAGCACCTGCATTGGTTGTGTGGGACAGGATGGTTCCATAGAGGAAAATTGGGCTGCTTTTGCTAAAAGAATGATGAGTGGGTCCTGGGGAGCAAAATGGATTTTTACTATTCAGTTCATTCCTTTTGGCAGCTGAACATCCCACACACCCATTTCCCCATACATATGCCTTAAAACATGTCCAATTCCATATTGAAATGCCATAGGCAACTAAAACACAACCACTTATTCTCCAAATAAAATAATTCAAAGTCTTATCTAGTTGCAACACTGAAATACATGATTTAAATTATCTGGGTAATTCCACATAATCTAGCAAAACCCATAATCTAGCACCATAACATGGGCCATAAGAAATAGCTAACACACTCTGAGATTCTGATATTGTTGGACTGTGTTCTCTAACATTCCATTGTTTTGTCAATAAAAGGTCTGAGTCCCAAGATACAGATAGCCATTTGACCAGCTGTTTGCACTTCATATTTAAATGATAAAACTCTCTCTCTCTCTCTCTCTCTCTCTCTCTCTCTCTCTCTCTCTCTCTCTCTCTCTCTCTCTCTCTCTCTCTTTCTCTCTCTCTCTCCCAATATAGCCAGTATGGAATGGGAATGAGAGAATCAGATTTCCTAGATAGTCAAATCAACTGGTCATCACACTGTAGCAGCCAGGAAAGTGCAACCATCAGGTCTGCTCCCGAGAAAGAACATGCCACTCAGCTGTGAAGAGTGCAATTAGCCGACAGCCTCCATGAGCAGCCCCTTCAGGACCTACCCCAGCTTGTCAGCTGAGGTCATGCTCTTCCTGGTCAACCCTGCCAGGCAATCATTAAGCATGACTGGCTTATTCACATCTAGCCATTTCTATTCAATGCAGGCTACTGTAACTGTAATGTTTGCTAAGGAGCTGACAATTACACTTACCCAGGCTCTGTATGGTCTGCATTGTCAGCTGAAGCCTTTCCCTCCCCAAACCAACTTGCTCCCCCACTTTATCTTTTACATATATTACTCCCAGAAAATCTTTTTTGGGGAGAGTGGGGACTAGTGCAATGTGTGTGTTTTTCCCCCGTGGCTTCTTCTGCCACCCCATAATAAACCTTTTGCACACCTGACTGCATCAGCATCTGCTTCCCGATAGCCTGGAACTGGCACAACATGCTATTCCCAGGATCAAAGTACCTGCGGAACAGAATCAGGAACTAAACTGCAGTTGTGATCTGTCAGTCATCTTCTGCTTTTGTCACCCAGCCTCCAACAACCCTTCTTTAGGGAAGAAACGAGTAGGAAAAACATCCAGTAGTCTCCAATCTATAGTATACATCATACACTGCTTGGCAGGACTAGCAAGATCCCCAACATTGGCAATGGAACAAATTTCTTAATCAGTCAAAATGGTACCTTTTCCTCCATGGCCACATTTAAGGTGGATGCTGCAGAGGATCTCTTCTTTCTGAGATTAACCTCTTTAGCTACTAATAGTGTGCGGCAAGAGCTTTTGAAGTAAAATAACCATTAGTCTTTGTTTGCCAGACTTGGAGTTTAGCTAGTTCATGCTTCCATGTAATTCTCTGGGCTAATAACCAATGCCAGATGACTAGTTGAGCCTACAACTGGGGCCTACGGGCTTCTGTTTCTTAGCAACAGACTCCGGTGCTCTGTTGTTCTTCAATAACCTTTG